GTAAAAAGATGAAGTAGATTGAAAGAAATGAGTTAAAAGTTGTTTACCTATGATTTGGGGAAGAACTTTTCTTCAGAAAATCGCCTATGGGAGCTTAAGGTTTGAAAATTTGAAAGAATGAGTAGAAATCCCGTCTAAGTTATAATTTACACAGTCACAGTTATCACATTTGCGATAACAGGTTCGCAAATGTGAACTCGCAAATACGACCAAAGCATCGCAAATCTGCTAACTTCGCAAATACGAACAATTGTTCGCAAATGCGGTGACGGCTGGGGTCGCAATTGCGTCATGGAACTTCGCAATTGCAAAGGTCTCCCTCCCTGCCCTCTGATCGCAATTGCGATGGTGTTTTGTAAATGTGATGCTCGCATTTGCGAGCCAGACTTCGCATATTTGCGAAGTTTGCAGATTTGCAACACAACAACTATTTCCCTCAAGTCACAAAACACTCTGCGGCCTATCCACAACTCACCCGAGCCCTCGTGGCTCCAAACCAAACATGCACACAAGTCCAAAAATATCATACGGACGTGATCGTGCGATCAAATCATCAAAATAACATCAACAACTATGAATTTAGCTTCAAAATCAATGAAATTCTCAAGAACACTTAAAGTTACTATTTTCACAACCGAAGGTCTGATTTATATCAAATCAAGTCCGATTCTTACCAAATTTTACAGATTTGACTTAAATATTATTTTAAACCTGTACCGGCTCCAAAACAAAAATACGGGTCTGATACCATCATATTCCATCATTATTTAATTTCCAAACTTCTTATACTTTTCAGTTAAATATTTTTCTTCAAAAATTCATTTCTCGGGCTAGGGAACCCGGAATTCAATTTCAGGCATACTCCCAAGTCCTATATTTTTCTACTGACCCTTCGGGACCGTCAAATCACAGGTCCGAGTCCCTTTACCCAAAATATTGACCGAAGTCAACTTAAATTTAAATTTAAAGGCAAAATTGGCATTTTTCTCAAATTTTCACATAAGGGCTTTTCGGAAGTGCGCCCGTACTGCGCACGCAAATCGAGAAAAAAGAGAATGAGGTCTTGAAGACCTCGGAACCGCGGATTGGGTTTTAAAATATGAGATGACCTTTTGGGTCATCACAAATATGCTTGAGTATTGGGAAGTTTGATGTACATTATGAATTGTACACGACCTGATATAGTTTGTGCAATAAGTAAGCTTAGTCAATACACAAGTAATCCTAACCAAGCTCATTGGATAGCAATGAAATGAGTTTTGCGATATTTGAAATATACTCATGACTATGCATTGCATTACAATAATTATCTCGCAGTTGTTGAGGGATATAGTGATGCAAATTGGATCACCGGATCAATGAAATCAAAATCCACAAGTGGATACGTTTTTACAATTGGTGGAGGAGCAGTGTCTTGGAAGTCGTCCAAACAGACATGCATCGCCCGCTCTACAATGGAGTCTGAATTTATATCTTTAGACAAGGCCAGTGAAAAAGCGAAATTGCTCCAAAATTTTATTAGAAGACATTCCATTTTGGCCCAAACCTATGGCATTTGTATGCATATATTGTGACAATTAAGCAACAATAGGAAAGGCTGGGAGCGTTATGGATAACGAGAAATCTCGTCGCATTCGACGAAGGTATAATACCGTTAGACAACTACTCTCTCGTAGAATTATCACAATTGATTATGTAAAGTCAAAAGATAATGTATCGGATCCGCTTACAAAAGGCCTACCTAAAGAGGCGGTTGAGAAGTCATCAAAGGGAATAAGACTATGGCCGATGACAAGTCACTATGGCGGTAACTCTACCTAGAAGACTGAAGATCCCAATATCTAGGTTTAAGGAGATCAAATAAAGTCATTAGTGACGGTTCAACATTATCAAATAAAATTTTGGTCCATTCTCATGAAGACAATGTTCAGTACTAAGGATAAAAAGTTAGGACTTTTTAATGGTTTCTAAGTTTGATACGGGGTATATCAAATAGTATATCTACGGGATAACACGTTTAGGAATCACCTATATGAGTGTGAAGTGTAAGCCTCTTCAAGGAGAATGTTGTTAGGCCAGTTTTCTATTCACTTATGAAACCAGGCGGTGTTCATGGCTGAAACGAACAGAACAATGAGAACCAAAGACGGTTAAGGGTTGATTGTGTGACATATGGCTGTCTAGGTATACACCAAAGTTTGACGGTTCAAAGATATCAAATCTACTGATTGATCGAGTATATTTGACATATGTTCACTACGGAAGGTTCAAAGGGAAACCTACTTATCCATATGCGATTAATCCTTACTTGCGAATCACACACAGTTTTTCATGCATATTTGTTTCGGATAGCCATTCCCCATTCATATGGGGGATTGTTGGGTTTTGTTATTAATAACAAAAGAGGTGTGAATGACAAATGGTGGGAAAAGAAATGGAGGGAAGTGAAATTTTAAATTAATTCACTTTACTAATGAACTTTGTCCCTCATTGGAAAAAGGAAAGAAAAAATCTTTGTGTATATATAGAGATGCTCATCTTCTAGCTCTTAAAGAGTTAAAAAGAAGTGGTGCCTCGCGCCATCGTCGTCGCTCGCTTGGCTTCGGCTTCGGATTTAGTCAATTGATATGATTGATATATAATTTTTTGGACCAAATTTATTTTCCTTTTCCATTATTTAACATTTTCTTTTCTAAATATTTTTCGCATTGGAAGATCACAGAATCATTTTCGTGCGTTGGAAGATCGCGGAATTATTTTCGCGACCAACAGTTGAATAAATACCAAAACGTTCCATTCAATAACTGAATAGACACCTTATCAACGAACATGCACCTTTGCCCCTGTTGGGACTCAACTGTGTTGGCTATAAATAGAGAGGCTTAGCCTCATTTTCCACCACCGAAAAATATGAAATCTCTCCCCTCAATCTTCTGCATTGGTTTTTCAAACACAAAACGTAAGCACTGTGTGTGATTTGCTCCGCCATTTGAGTTTGCCTAAATTCTGTAATTTGAAGTGCTGCTATCACAGAATAGATATTTCGTTCTATTCTAGGAGGAATTAATCCGGAACCTTGGGCATTATGAGGGGATTAAATTCCTTAAGGAAACACAAGAAACTTGTGGGCTCGGAATTTTTTCTGCTTTTTTTTAAACTAACGTTTGTTGATTTACTGGTTTTGAATACAGTGTTCTAACACTCTTTTGCTTTGTGATGACCTGTGAGAAGTTTAGTCTCTTATTTACCGCTTGTTTGGATGGTTATTAGCCATTGTATCGTATTGTATTGTTATCCCAAAATAATATTTGTTTTGATTGTTCATTTAAAATTGATTGTATTGTATTGCTAAATACATTGTTCCGGAACAACTAAAAACCCCATTTTATGAAACAACTGATTTGGATTGGTAGGATCGTTTCCTATTTTTTTTCAATTATGCCCTTACTTATTACTCCATAATTCTATTTTATCATTTAATAATTTTTTATTTAAACTCCAAATCTCCAACCTATTGACCCACTTTGTCTTCTTTCATTGTTTCTAGAGTTGGTTTGCCCCGTTCTTTTTATCCAAATCTCCGTATGATTCTGTCACTTTCCATAATTTTTTTGGCTAATATTAGTCAATCCTTTTTTTCATGTTTTTGCTCTTGTTTCCAAGCTACGTAATCAATGATAAATTAGTAGAAAGATGTTTTCTTAAATTATTTTTATGTGTAATTCTTGATAAATTTTATTAAAAATAATTGGGGGTATTTTAGTGAACTTATCAGTTACAGTACAGTACGATGCATTCAAACTAAACAACAAAAATGTTATTTAACAACAACAAACGATACAATCTATTCAAACATTGTATCCATAAAACGATACAATACAATACATTATAAAACAATGATTAATAATGATCCAAACATAGTGTTGAACCTTTTTTGGGGATTCCTTTGCCGTAGAGATTGGGATCCGTCTTCCATTGATGCCCTCAGATCCTTTGCTGCTGAGAATAATAAACAACAACAATTTCCTTGGAAGAAGCTGTACCAGCAAATCTATCAATTGGACACTGTCTACTGTAGCAGACTTGGAGCCCGTTTGGACATGAGATTTTTTCATTTTTTTCGAAAAAATTTTACTTTTTTCAAAATCATTGTTTGACCATAAAATTTTCAATTTTCACTTGAAGATAAATTTTAGAATTTTTCGAAAATTTGAAAAAATTCAAAAAGTTATTTTTCAAAATTTTCACTCAGATCAATAAAACTTCAAAACAAACTAAATGTCCAAACACAATTCTAATTTTCAAATATCATTATTACTTGTTTTTTTTTTTTTTTTTTTTTTTTTTTTTTATAATTTTGCAATTCTTATGTCCAAACGCCCACCTGGGGTGAGGTGAGGGAAGCAAAGAGAAGACGGGAAGGTGAAGGAGTGGGGTCTGTGGGGTTATTTTTATTTTTAGATAGGGGTTTTAGAGTCGGGTAACGGGGCACATAGGAGAGGGTTTGGGTATTTTATAATTGGGCATGGGTCCATTGAATCTGAAAGCGATACGTGGTCAGCCGTCTATTATTGGAACAAAGGGCAATTTTAAACAATATTCGACAGTTTTGACCCTTTTCTGTTTTGGTATTGCTTCGTCTCATTCTTCCCCTATTATTGGAACCATACCTCTTCAACTTTGACTTAATTGGGAAAGAGTGTTTCTGGAAATTGAATAGAAAATTCTGATCTTTGCTTCGTTGAATATGTTTCTCGATCTTGAACAGCTAGCTTTTTAATTATGAAACAAAACGATTGCTCTTTTGATTAGTACGTAATCTATCTGATATATAAATCACAGAAAGTTCAAATATTTGAATTTTTAGCTTTATTTCCCTATCATTCGTTAAAAGTTCTGATCTTTGCATCATATTTACTGATTTTTTATATTATAAATTGCATTCTTTGCACTGATTTGGGGTTCTTATCTTCTGTCAGTTGCAATAATTCCACACAAAATTCAAGTCTCTATTATGGATTTCTATTGTGAATTCGGATTGAGGCATGTTTTTTGTGCGTAATTTATGGTAGCTTAGTGATAGTTCTGCTGAAACTGTCTTTGTTATCATTTGGATGTAGGATGATTCTGATGCCCTTATAAAAAAAAATATATAAAATATGGACTACGTGATGCCCTTTTCAATAAAAAGAAAGAGGGATTTACTTATCAAAAAGAAAAAAAGAAAGACGGATGATGTGATGCCTCTTAATCGCTGTAGTAAGCATCAGAAGGTAATATGCTTTTAAACCCCTGGTTTTTTTTTTATGACCGAGATATTCGTATGGGGCTGACCCTTTGGACCAACCGCAACCTTTGGACCCTTTGGGCCCGCCCCTCTACCCTTTTCCACTTAAATACCAGGCTTTGCTTTGCATGGTGTGGGGCTTGAACCTACGACCTAAGACACAAATCCACCACCCTTTGCCGCAAACCCCCGGTTCTACCTTTAATATTCTTTTATTCCAGTCCTAGGCTAATGAATATATAAGGAGTTAGTATCTTTTTTCTTTCATGCAGAATCTTTTCAAGTGTGGGATTGACAACTTGCCTGATGAGTTGCTTATTGCCATTCTTTCCTGTCTTACCTTCCAAGAGGCAGCAAGGACCTGTATTCTCTCGCAGCGATGGAGATACTTATGGAAGTATACAACTTGCAGTATTCAGTTTTATAGTGAAGGCACATTGGATTTTGAGGCAGCAGAAAAGTTTATAAATTCGGTGAATGAAGGCTTAAAATTGCATCAGGGTGAATCTATTGAGCAGTTCAAAGTTGGTTTTGTCTATCCAAGTATTAGTTATCGCCCCAACAAGGATACTGAATTTGCAATTGAAAGGCAACGCAAAGTCAACCATGATATTGATGGCTGGATTAATTTTGCAATGGAAAGCCAGGTCAAAGTATTTGAACTAAACATGGCGGCAGGTCCTCTTGACAGCACTGGACTTTGGAGGAATTATAGCATTCCTCATGTGCAAAAGCTGTTGTCGATTTCTGGCGAGGTTAAGTTGCTGAAAACATTGACTACTCTCAAATCTTTCCGATTTGTTAACATCCGAATAACACAGGAAGTTGTTGAATTTCTTTTGTCACACTGCCCTGTGTTGGAGCAAGTGTGTATTTCAGCCTCAAAGTCTCTGAAGCGTTTGAAAGTTGCTGGTTCGTTAACTAAGTTAAGGTCCATGGAAATATCAAATTGTGATTCTTTGAAGACTATGAAGGTTCATGCTCCAGGTCTTGTGTCTTTTACATACATTGGACGTGATATCAAAGCGCCTTTCAAGAAAGTTCCCCTCTTATCTGAGCTAACTATCGGAGGTGATTATGCTGGCTCTTTTATTTTTGATGATCACAAGCACTCAAGCTATTGTCGAAATCTGAAGAAGCTTAAACTGAAAGTGTCACAAAAGGTTGCAGGATAGGGGAGATTCCCAGTGAACATCCTCAACTGTACAATCTGAAAGAGTTGGAATTGGACATCACTTTAGAAGAGGATGATGGCCTTTGCTTCTTCGCATTCTTGACTAAGTGTTCTCCTCGGTTGTCCAGGTTAACCATCAAGGTAAAAGTTCTTGTCTCATATTCTTCTCCTTTATGCCATGCCATGCTCTTGGCTCTTGCCCTCTATGAGCTATATGACGAAAAGTCTTAAAGATGGTTAAGCTTAGGTGTTCTTTGAAATGATCTGCTGATTGTATAAACATTTTAAAACTCATCTAAAAGCTTAATATATTAGAGAATGCCTGCTCAATTGAAAAAGCGTATTCTTTTAAAAAAGAAGAAGATTAGATCTACTTAAGTATTTAGCCCGCGTAATAAGTAAGCAATGAGATAGGTACATAATTAATTGCTTTGGGATCGTGTTGTTCTACGAGCCGTTACTATCATAACACTAGTTGCATGTCAGATATCAACGAATACAAATTTTATTACTCCCAGTTTTATAGCAGTAATTAAAAGAATGAACGTAATCTTTGTGTAATCTTGTTCACTTATGAAGTAATCAAAGAAAGTATACCATGGCTGACTCTAAAATGTGGGATTTTGCCTTTATGATATTGCTTTACAAGAAAAAGAAAGATCATGTATGTTCACGCACCATCATCACTATTATGGTATGATGAGGAAGTCTAACCATACATTATTTACATAAAATGTTCGTGCAATAGTAAATAGCACTTAGTAAATTGAATGATAACAGAATCTGTTTTATTCGTGCATTATAGTCCTATACATGATATATTTGGGAGCTACCAAGAACACCATTTGAAGAGGGTTCAGAGAATGGATGACTGTCTTGGTATGTACTGTATGCAGTGCCACTGAGAAAGAGGATCCGATTCCAGTGCAGTTGAACTAATTGCATTCTTGATTGACAGGGTATTAGAATATGGAAGGAAAAAATGCTTTTTATAGTTCACTCAGTGTTTTGGAAAGCGAGAAGTGGAAAAAAGCGACGAGGCTTTGCTTCACTGAAGCAAGAAGCGTGAAGCGAAGGGCGCATTTTTTTTCATGTGAAGCGCAATTTAATACATAACTAAAAAATATTAAATAGGCATAGATAAATGACCAAAAAGACATTGAAATATTTAATACCTAGCTTTTTAGCTTGATGCCATTGAATAAAAAGACAGAATTTACTACAATTACCAAAAAAAAAAAAAAAAAAAAAAAAAAAAAATAGAATAGTGAAAACAGAGAAAAAAATGCAGAACAGTCAACAGAGATTTTGAAAAAACAGAGCAGAACAGAGAAAAAAGAAGAGCAGAACATAGAAAATAACTCTTGGAAGTCGAAGAACTGACAAAAAAATAGAAAAGAAGAATAGAAAAAGAGAGAAGAGAAGAGAAGATAATAAAAGAGGAGTCGAGTGGAAGCAGGTAAAGCAGAGAAAAGAAGAAGAGGAAGAGAAGAGAAGAGAAGAAAGAGAAGAGAAACTTACCTCGAAAGAAGTCGCAACATTCAAGTGAAGAGGAAGAGCAGTCCACTTGAAGCAGATTATTGGAAGAGAAGTCGCGTACAAGTGTATTTGAAATTTTTTAAAATAAAACCCTAGGCAGCCGTCGACCTTGCTTAAGTGAGCTTTTCTCGCTCGTGTCGCCTCTCACTTCTGGGCCTGAAGCATGTGCTTTTTAACTCATGCCTCGCTTTAGGACTAGAAAAGCACAAAGGTTGCGCCTCGCTTAAAGCGCAGAAGCGCTTGCTTTTAATAACACCGAGTTCACTTGCTGAGATCTTGTTTGTTTCCCATTCCGTTTATTTTGGGGCGGGGG